ATATCGATAAACAGAAGGTGTAGCAATGGGATCACCAATATCTCCTATTGTAGCAGACATATACATGGACAGCTGGGAAAATAGTGCTCATAATAAATTTAATCCTACTCCAAAAATATTTCGGATATATATGGATGACACTTTCATACACAGTGGTAAAAACAGAACATATCTCTAGCTTCTTGACACACATAAACTCACTAGTGGAAGGAATAAAATTCACAATTGAATCGGAAAATGAACAAGGAGAATTAGCTATGTTAGATTGTAAAATAAAACGAATAGAATAAGGTAAACTGCACACTAGTGTGTACAGAAAACCAACTCATTCTAATAGATACTTAGACTTTAATTCATCTCATCCGTTAACTGTTAAGGCAGGCTTAGTTAAGTGTTTAACAAACTGAGGAGTAGCACTAAGTAGCGCAAGAAAAGACCTAAATGAACTAAAACAGATAGAAGAGGCTTTGGTGTTAAATTCATTAGGAAGATCGAAAAAGGCCAAACGAAAAATAAAAATAATTGTGAAACTATTAATAATAACATAAATAAGAGAGAGTATAAGTCATCTACAGTTATACCATATAAAGAGGGGACATCTGAGACCCTACGTAGGATTGTAAATAAAGCAGGAATTAGGTTGGTGGCATTTAAACCTACAAACTCACTCAGCTCGGACAAGCTGTGTAGGTTTAAGGACCCAGTTGACCCAATTAGACAAATTAATATAATTTACAAAATATCCTGCAATGACTGTGAGGTCAACTACATAGGTCAAACTAATAGGTCAGGCGTAGTCAGATTGTCAGAACATAAGAATTTAGCGAAGGTAAGAATGGTTGACCTTGAAAAGACAAATAATTTAGAAAAAAACTCAGCAATTGCAATGCATGCATTAACACACAACCACACAATAGCATGGTGGGAGAGGGTTAAGATCCTAAAAAGTAATCTAGATAGGTGGAGAGAGGTTGATTACTGAATCCTAGTTCATCGAGTCTACACCAAACACATGGAATAGGAATGACTCATCACTCATACCTGAAATATGAAAAATACTACTGCCAGTCAAATCAAGTGAAAAATAATGGAACTATATAAATGAAGTTAGGAAGTCGTGTGAGTACCTTGATATGATTATGAGCAATAAATTGTGCTCTAAACGTCATCAGTAAACATTACTGTATAACACTGTGAGACTTTAGCAATTACTACTCCTTGTGATCGTAGAAAAAAAGTATGTTTAAATCTTTAATGTATGCAATTCATATATACGTTCAGGTTGTAGCCAGTTGAGAGTTATCCTCTAAATAATAAAAAATGAGCTCATATAATCTTCTGGTACAATTGTTGTCCTTGCTTTGTTCATGGAATTACGGTTGAGACTCTCGTAATACAATCTCTAAACCTCGAGACTTAATTAATACCGTTTCTTTCCCAGACGGGAGAGATTTGAAAGAGGTTACACTTCATTGACTCATCTAGGGAGCATTGTCTCAACTACGGGCAGTCGGAACGCACAAGGATGTCAAATCGAGAATCCGGAAGACGATAAAAAACACATTCACATCAATCTGAAACCAATCTGGAAATCTTCGTCACTCAGCCGGCATCAACAAAAAAATTCGGTCGGATTTTCAATACAAACACATCAAGTCACTTCTACACGTATCCAACAGGTTGCAGACCTTTATCAACAACTAACTCTCCTCGCTCTATACTGAAGATCAGATCGCCGGGCCGAAAAGAATCCCCAAAAACAAGAAATTATGGAAACAAAGAAAACAAAACAAGAACCAATCGCCCAACAACAACAACAAATATGCAGGAGAAAGTGAAGAGATGGATTGGACACTCGTCGAGGAGGCCGCTGGGTGACATCACGCGCGCGTCAGGCCATTGCTTGAGTTGAACCCGGAATGGAAGCGGCGAGTGGGTCATCAGTGTGAGGGTGACGTGGAGGAGGAGATCGTGTGAAGAGGAGTTGAAAGAGTATGGACTAACATGGATAATGCAGGTGAAAAGTAAGTACACCAGAAGACAGAAGCAAGTGGAGAGGTGCAGTTGAAGCCCTATGTTCCACTAGGAACGCAACGGAACAATAATAATATGTAATAATTTCCAAGACGACAGCATACATTGAATTATAGCTAAAATACGTAAACCATCTTCAAAAATATGGCGTTTCTTTGTGTGTAACGAAAACCACTTTATTATGAAAGACAATCAACAATAAATTCCAAAAAAGGTACTTTTATATAATAGCCAAAGCTATCTAGCAAAATAGATACCATGAAAGAGAACAGCCAACTCTAATAAAGACAACTAACAAATGATCAAATGACCGAAATCTGTTAACACACCAAATCAGCTAAATTGATGTGTAGTCATCGCCTTCCTCGACAATGGGAGATGTCAGCTGATATAGGGTCAGGCTGGAAAAGAGCTAGCGGCGGTCAAACCACAACATGGAACCAGTCAATGAAATCTACAACAGTTAGTTTAAGTCACGTAGGAAGGTGTAGACTGGCTTCCTGACTGGTTGGGGTCCTCGGGACGGTAAAAACCAATGAAGGCTCGAAACAATTGGTGACATGGATCAAAATCGTTCTCAATGACGCAGGTGCATCCACTACTTGTGACTTATGATTTCCAATGAAACTATATTGTTCTTCGTTCGTTATTACTATTTCTTCGTCTCACACCTCTGTTTACTGTCTCTAATATGCATTTCTTCTACTTCTCTTGGTGTGTGCTACATGGATTGTGGCTACTTGAACTGATGCACATTGGTGCGCAGATATATGTCGAAAATAGACAGACAAACAAGGAGTGAAACACAAAAAATACGTGCGGAATGGAATATGAAACAAAAATGAAAGAAAGAAAGAAACGTCAAATAAACAACACAGATGAGTATGTGAACATTTCAGATCTCTTACATATTTAAGGCTCTGATAAGATTTGTATATGGATAGAAAAGAAACCACTGAGCTGTAGATTGTATACTGATTATTAATGGAGTAATCTCGAGCATGCATTCTATTCTACATTATAACAATGTATTCCAGGTTTTTTTCTAAAAAGTGATAATTTGTCATCAAATTTATAATAAAATCAGCAACGAATGAATGGAGGAACTACTACTACCCGACCGATAGCTGCTACATTAATGTGGTGGTCGCCGGACTTGCACATCGCGATGACCCAACAAGCTACATTGGCTGGAACCACTGTTCCTGCAGGTCCTACCATGCCAAGAAGGTTGTTAGGATAGCGATTAGACTAAAATCAGTTGCCAGAATAGTGCAAAAACTCTTTTTTACACTATGCAGAGGGTCTGTGGGCGAAGTCGTACTGCTAGGGAACACGGGTATAACAGCAGTGAGGTGTTTCCCTCAGATGACCAGCGTGCCAGCCAGGCATGCTGTCTCTCCACTCTTCTGGAGAGAGGGGGTAAGAAAAGGTCAATCCCGGAAATTGTACATCCCGACTTACCTCACCTACGATGGTCTGTAACCGGCGGTAAGTTTACTAATACGGAACCAAACCAAGAAACCAGTTCATACAGGCCGTATGTGACCGGCCTGGCTCAAGCAGTTGTGTCCCCTGGGCTCTGCGGTCACGACGCAACACTAACCCTCTCTGGTGTTTCAGGTACCCGAAGAATCAACCAGCTTCCACAGTGGTGTGGGCACACGGGAAGTAACAACTGCCCACACACTTTCAAAAGTACACGAAGCCTTCCCGAGTATCATTCTCCTCTACCCACATCACCTTTATCATCTTATTCCCCAACTACAGTTAGTACTATTCTCCAGGTTAGTGAGTCACCTTCACTTCACTCTGTGGCCACAAATAACGGTGAGGGATAACGATAGAAACACTCCATATAGCCTTTTAAAGACACGTCGTTTAACTTCAAATAGGAGCATTTAACGTCAGGGGACCATCTGCCAAATCGGACGACAGGCATCACTAGCAAGAACTCTGGGATCTTGAGTTATGGATGCACGTTATGTTTCGGAGACACGCATACAAGACCCGAGTGTGGTCACTCATTTAACCTCACCCGGTCAACAAGGTGAATCTGCGAAATTTACTTTAAGGGTGTCAGGAGACCCCTCAGCTAGCTAGCGAGGACTCGCAGATGTAGGGATATCACTGAGTGTTAGGGCGGAAAAATCACTTCTTGACTGGATCTATGTGTGCAGTCCGTCTGAATGGATCCGTTAAAGGAAGGAAAGAGGGTGCTACCCGTCGTTGCCTTTTTGTAGTCTCCACTGACGCCTAAACAGGCTGCAGTTCAGATGAACTAGCTGCGGATCGTTAGCTTAATGATTTTAACCGACGGAATATTTTGCCTAAATGGTTAAGCCCAAAAAACCAACCAAACAATTAATTAAATGAGAAAATGCCGGCAGAAATTTCTCGCAAATACACAAGACAGACTACTTTTTAAAAAAGTTGTGCATAGACAAGATTTCACTATATATGTATATATATATATATATATATATATATATATATATATATATAGTCAGTGGAAACTACTCCACATGAACTATTTATTTTGTAGGTGAAAGTAGAATGGACAATTCACCCAAAATAGATGTACATCATTCAAAGCATATAATCAACAAAGCTCATTCCATGACATACAATTCTGAAAAGTACTCAACAAGTTCAATATACTGACTGATTATGACCAAATTTGATCACATTGCGTCGGTGGCACAGCGGCGGTTAGGATGCTCGCCAACCATGCACATGGTCCGGGGTTCGAATCCCGCCCGTCGACGCACTCCTTTACCTCGCTAAACCAGAAGTAATGCTGGTAAAGAGAAAAGGTTGGGCATGAGGCTGGCTAGCAATCCCATCCTGTAAAAATAATCACCACCACTGCTACAGAAACTCTAAGCCACTAGCTTGAAAGCGACCTATGTTCCACTGGGGAACGTGAAGGAATAACATGCTGATCACATTGAAAATTCACCTACTTTAAATCTTCATCGGCATTTTCTTTATCTGCAAGCTGTGCTGCGGCTACTTCAGCCCGCCTGGTCAACTCTGACATAAGGATATGAATTTGAGTAAGCACTTCAGGATCGATTGTTCGCTCTTCGTTTAGTAAAGCCGACTGTTCAGCGATCTTTTTCTGAAGGGCCTGAAAAACAAAATTAAGAAAAAAACATGCACATCGCACTAGACATGAAACTCGAATCAGATTATAATGTGCATGCAAACAGTTCCGAATAAATATATCTATATCAGTTTGCCACTCAAAGGAGATGATGTGTCCCGACCGAAAGCTGCTACCTTGACGTGGTGGTCGGGCTTGAACACCGCAATGACCTAATCAAGCTATACTGGCTGAGACTTATGTCTCTTGAGGTACTACCATGCCAGGCAGGTTGTTTGGATAGCGGTTAAACAAAAAGCAGCTACCCAATCCAACATCATGTCCAATACAAAATCACAAAATTTCATGCCGGATCGGCCGTGGCCCGGATTAACAACGACCGCGCTTCCTGCTGCCGTGTCACAGGGCAGGAGTGATAAATATGCTACTGAGACACACCAAACAAAAAAGAACGAACAAAAACAGGCCGCGTGTGACCGGCCTCAAGCAGTTGTCCCCTGGGCTCTGCGGTCACGCAACCAACTTCCACGGTGTGGGCAGCCGGGAAGTAACAATCGCCCTCACAATCCGAAATGCACACGAAACCTCTCTATTACTCACTCATCTTTGTCTTCATCTTCATCTCTATCATCTTGCCTTCCTTCCACTGATGCAACTCCTCGACTTGATAGCTCTCCACTTCCTCTCCACTCTGCGTCCACTAAAAACGATGGAAGCCAAAAAACCACCACCGACAGCCTCTTAAAGCCGCGCCACCAATTTCATATAGGAGCTCTTAATGTTAGGACACTTTGCCAAATAGGACAACAAGCATCACTAGCCAAGACCCTGGCATCACGAGCCATTGATGTATGCTGTGTTTCAGAAACACGCATACAAGACCCAAGTGTGGTTATTCACCTAACCCCACCTGGCCAACAGGTTGAATCTGCAAAATTCACCTTGAGGGTGTCAGGAGATGCCACAGCTAGTTCACGAGGATTAGCTGGCGTAGGGATAGCTTTGAGTACTAGGGCAGAAAAGACATTGCTTGACTGGATCCCGGTAGATAGCCGAATGTGTGCTGTCCGCCTGAACGGATCAGTAAGAAGGAGAAAGGACTGCACTACTCGCCGATGCCTTTTCGTAATCTCCGCCTACGCCCCCACTGACTGCAGTTCAGATGAAACGAAGGATGAGTTCTACCAAAAGCTGTCTAGTTTGGTGCGAAAGGCTAAACGCTCAGACATAGTCGTTCTAGCTGGTGACTTTAACGCTCAAGTAGGGAAATTGTGTCAATCTGAGAAGGATGTCGGTGGCACCTATGGAGTTCCGTGCCAGCGAACCGACAACGGTGACCGTCTCCTACAGTTCTGCTCTGATAATCATTTGTTTCTTGTAAGCACTAACTTCAAACACAAGGAGAGACACTGTTTGACTTGGAGACCCCCTTCATCAAACCAACGCTGGACACAAATAGACCACATAGCAATAAGCTATCGTTGGCGTGGGTCGGTAGGAGATTGTCGCTCCTTCTGGAACACGTGCGTAGATACCGACCATGCACTGGTCCGCGCTCGGGTGTGCTTACGACTGAACGGACGTAGGAAACAGCTGGCGGTAAAACCATCACGTCCCCAGCTCGATCAGGAAACTAAATCCGTATTTGAGGAAGAACTAGCTAAACACATATCTGTGTTCGACAGCTGTGCTCACCCTGAAGAAGCTTGGAAAAATATCCAGGCAGCCATAGATACAGCTGTAAAAGCTGTGAATAAGGTAAACCCAAAGGTGAGTAAAAACCACTGGATCTCCACCGCCTCATCCGAACTGATAGATGCTAGAAGACTTATTCCGGCGAGCTCCGAATTCAATGAGGAGCGAAAGCTGCACAAGAGGAAACTTACGAAAAGTCTCCGCAAGGACCGTGAACAGTGGTGGGCGACAAAAGCCAAAGAGATGGAGAAAGCTTCGAGGATAGGCAACACCAGGCAACTCTTTAGACTCATCAGGGAAACGGGTGGGAGAAGACAAATCATTAGTGAGACAATCTCGGAAAAAAATGGCACTATAATTAGCTCCCAGGATAGACGACTGGATCGTTGGAAAGAGCATTATGAGGAGCAGTTTAATTTGCCCACAGCCACGCTCAACCTTCCGAGCATCCAACACCTCCCTGAATGGGATATAGACACAGGTCCTCCGTCACTAACTGAGGTTACTAAAGCTGTCACCAATCTGAAACTAGGCAAAGCAGCGGGACCTGATGGAATGACTCCAGAGGTATTTAAGTACGGTGGAGACAGCTTACTGTCCGGATTAACTGAGGTACTAGGCAGCGTCTGGGAATCAGAAGAAGTCCCATCGGGTTGGTGTAAGTCACTGATTATCCCCATATACAAGAAGGGAGACAAGTCTTCCTGTGATAATCACAGAGGGATTAGCTTGACTAATATAGTATCTAAAGTCTTAGGCTCAATAATCATGCGTAGACTGAGTGGTGCTCGGGAAGCACAAACACGAGAGAGCCAGGCAGGCTTTAGACCAGGAAGAGGGTGTATTGATCATATCTTCACCCTCCGACAGATTCTAGAACATAGGCATTCCTACCGGCGTCCAACAGTCATTATATTTCTTGACCTAAAGGCAGCATTCGACTCTGTCGATCGGGAAGTTCTCTGGAGATGCTTGGCTGTAAAGGGAATTCCGAGAAAATATATTGCACTGATTAAGGCACTCTACTCGTACTCATACAGCCAGGTGAGGGCTTACGGCGAGCTGTCATCTGAACTGATGACGACCAGTGGTGTCCGTCAAGGATGCCCATTATCTCCTTTTCTATTCAACTTCATCATAGATGTGTTAATGGACTTAACCCTAGGTGACTTCAGCGACTCAGGGATTGACTTGCTACCGGGAATAATCTCGTTGACTTGGAATATGCAGACGATATAGTCCTTCTAGGCGAAGACGCTGACGAAATGCAGAGTCTTCTAAACACCTTGAGCCGCAATCTACGAATGTTTGGCATGCGATTCGCTCCCGCCAAATGCAAGATGATGTTACAGGACTGGACTACATCGACGCCTAGTTTAAAAATAGGAAGTGAAGTGGTAGAGCACGTTGACCGCTTCACTTATTTGGGAAGTACCATCCCCCACAACGGGCTGATCTCTGACGAAATCTCAGCACGAATACAAGGGGCTCGTTTCGCATTTGTTAGTTTACGCCGACTCTGGCGTAGACGAGATGTTCGACTATCGACCAAAGGGCGGGTGTACTGCTCATCAGTCCGCTCCGTCCTCCTTTATGGTTGTGAGACCTGGCCACTGAGAGTGGAAGACATGAAAAGACTAGCTGTCTTTGATCATAGGTGCCTGCGTTCTATTTCCCGTGTAAAGTGGCATAATAAGGTGAGCAACATGGAGGTTAGGCGTAGAGTTCTAGGTAAACAGGGGAAATCAATCGACGAAGTCGTGAAGCTACAAAGACTGAGATGGTTAGGACATGTGTTACGTATGCCAAGCCATCGCCTCCCTCGACGAGCAATGTTAGCGGATATAGGGTCAGGCTGGAAAAAAGCTAGCGGCGGTCAAACAAAAACTTGGCACCAGTCAATGAAATCCACAACAGTTGGTCTAAGCCACGTAGGAAGGTGTAGACTTCCAGGCTGGGGTCCTCGGGACGGTAAAAATCTATGGTTGGAAACAATTGGTGACATGGCTCAAAATCGTTCTCAGTGGCTGGCGCAGATGCATCCACTCCTTGTGACTTATGATTTCCAATGAAACTGTTTTGTTCTTCGTTATTACTCTTTTTTGCCTCACACCTCTGCTCACTGTCTCTATTATGCTTTTCTTGTACTTTCTTCTCTTGCTTCGCGTGCTACATGGAGTGTGGCGACTTGAACTTCCGCACATTTGTGCAAAGTTCTATGTCGAAAACAGACAGACAGACAGATGATGTGTACAGGAAGTAGTCAAACGAAGACTCAATGAAGCTATCACGTGAACTTATTATGCTGAAAAACTTGTTATCCTTAACACCACCACTAAGCGATTGCTTCAACAATCTGGGAAAGACCAGTCAGTAGCCAATCCTCGACACCCCTCAAACTGCGTATATCAATTTGATGTGTTTGTGGAAGCAACTACGTATAGGTCGTACGGAAAGGCGATTGTCGACTCATCGCATGATGGAACATTTGCCAAAATGGTTGAAAACAGCTGAATGCGCAGTGCCAAATAACAAAATATCTTGTATACTATGGACATGATATCGACGCGGTCAACTCATTCACTGTTATTGGCAGAAGACAGACAAAGAAACAAGATGCTTGCGATTCCACAGAGGCTTGTGCAATTCAAGTTTATAAACCAGGTCTCTATGTACAAAAGGCGATCGATGGTCATCACTCTGAAGCTACCATGGTAATAAGTTTTACTTATAATTCTATCTATTATTAATCTTGACTCATTTAAAATTATCCTTTATCAGTAGGATTATCTCAACCTACTTCAACACTATTATTATTGTTATTATTATAACTACTACTATTGATAATACTCTGTTTGCAATTCTTGTTATACTCTCCAATGTCTAATTGTTTATCTAAGTGATGTGTAATTGAAGCGTAATGCAATTCATCTTAATTTTGATCTCTCATACTCCCTCGCTCTCCCCTTATCTATTTGAACATGACCTGGAAAACATTCGTACCTGTCTTTCTGCATGACTAATTCAATTCAGTGTTATACCTCCTAAAGTAATTTCAAAAGTATATATATATATCCGTGTATGTAGAGTACTGAGCAGCTGACGAGGCCTACCGAAATTTGACGAGTTCATTAAATTATCCTGCTTTATTAACCTTTATTGCTTGTTCTATAATGTGCATGATTGGACTGTAATATATTTCCCCTAGTAGGCAATGAGGAACCTTATTAACATGTATGAGTTTCGCAAACATATGCACCCGTTTTAGTTGTAACACTTATGAAAAGCAATGCGAGGAAAGAGTCTTGTCAAACAAAAAAATGTTGAGGTGAATAAATATATATAAGGGGGCCAAACGATGTGTTCCTTTTGGGCAAATAGTGAGAGCCAAGCGAATTCACGTTCAGCAGAGTAGTACACTAAAGACACTCCAATCTCAGAAACTAATCTACGATTATCCGTTAAGTTGCATTCCCGCTATGGAGAGGGGAAAATTGGGAAAGTCAGTTTAAAGTGTAAATAAATCCTCAGGAGTGGGGAAGGTTTATAGCCGCTGATGTCTACTGTACGAACGAAAATCGGCCTCCACACACGTCGTACGTAGCTGACCCCATGTAGTTGCACCCTAATTGGGAAGATAACCAACTAACTAAAAGTTCTAGCAACGACTACGAACAGTAGTGGGGGAAGAAAACTCGTACAACATGCGCGATAAAAAATAATTGGTAAACAAGATAGGAAAAGATTAATTAAGGAAAAACATGAAAACAATGACATTTAAAGAAGCGTTCACCAGTTCATGATACTTTCAGAAAAGAAAGGATTAAGTTGCAGTATGTTTGGCACTGACTCCAGTCCCAAGTGCCATATGAAAATGTCTCGTGTCACCCGGTTAAATTAACTCTTCGACCCCAACTAGGTAGGCTATATGCACCAACAGATGGAAAACCGACTTATCTACTTTAACACAGCACTAAGTTCTCAGCTGATTTTCCCTTCACATTTTTCTCCGTCTCACAGCTAGCGGATAATGAACAGCATATGAGCCTCTGAGATGATATTTGTACCACGCGCGTAAGTCCCCAACATCGGGGTCCATGATCACATCCCTTGTTGGAAGATGAACTCCATCACAGCCAAAAAAACGCCCCCGCAGTTAACTTACATAATGACTACACTGAATGCACGACCACGGTGATATAACAAGCACAGTGACTGTATATATTCAGATCGTAAAGGCTAGGCTTCACGGGCATAGAGCAAGATTCTGCTCACGGAAGCGTTATAAACCTAACCTTTGAAAGGTCAGCTGACATCACACTGGCACAAAGGATGGCGTAAGTTGATGTATGTGTGTGTAACGCTCTGGTTTCCACTACACAATTGAAATCTTCTTCTGCTGGACCCCGACAGAATTAGGTGCAGCTTAACAACCTCGTCAACTGATCTACTTAACACTAAATCTGATATAACAATGACGGATCACAAAATACTACATAATGAAACAATTAAAGCCCAAAGACGCATGTTCAAAGACCTCTAGCACTGTCTCAAATTACCCACCACTGATGATTATATCTCGACAAATGTAGCAGTAAACTGCTGTGAGGGTAGACACTTTTAATTGATAACCGTATATATAAAAGCGAATTGGCAATCGCCATACGAGCTTACTGTATCCATTCTTAGACCAAGGTTCGATGAAGATGAGTCTCATAGCAACATCTTACACAATAACAGAGAACCAAATGACGTCACGCACCAGGGTGAAACCAGGATGGCGAAGATAGGTTGGGGGTCTGACTGATATGTAGATCATGCAGGCGGTGAAAGCTTGTGGATGACTGTAGAACAGGTTGGAGAGTAAAATTTACTTCTGACACCTTAAGCCCTACGAGTAATAATAATAATAGACGGATAGACAAAGGATAGAATAAGAAGCCAAAATCTTTGTGAAAATTCAGTAATGTTGATCAGTCGTGGCGTAGCAATAATCAAAACGTTAACTTTCTTAACCATTCAGCAAGTGAATGTGATCGAAAAATCTTTTCAGAACTGAACTTAAATACCGTGCGAAAATTTATATATAAGCCTCTCAGACGACCTAAAATCAAAAACATTTATTGCAGACCCTAAATAGTGGTCGTTAATAAGTACAAGTAAAAATACTGAATTATAAGTTACTTACTTGTAACTGAAGTAACTGGACCCTTGCACTTGAGCTTTTTTTAGTGCATTTATTATTAGTGTCCTCAAGAGCAGGCATACTGTACATTTTTGGACTGCTATTATTATTTAAAACTGAATGATTTTGTGGAGGTAGCAACTGCATTTTAGTATCTGCTACATTATGATTTGACAATTTAAGTAGAGCAGCACGGACAACTTCCTCCGCTAAAACAGTGGTTAGATAATAATGTGGTGCCTTACCTTTTTCTATGACTTTTGGGTTTTCCGGATCTTTTTCAATATCATTTAGAGCATATAATACTTCTTTTGGGAAGACGGAAGAACTCTCCCATAAGTACAATAAATGAGATACCATAGGCTTATCTTTCTCACCACATTGCAAAACAGAGATGATAACGGACACTAAGTTTCGTAAAAATCTCGGCCCATAAACATCTTTTTCTCGATAAAAGTGTTGAGACTGTCTGACAATGGAGTCAATAATGTAAAGTCCAGGAAGTTTGAAATGAGGTGGGCATTCTGCTATGAACTTTTCTACCGTATGTACAATATGTTTGTAATACTTTAATGCTTTCATGGCAGCTCTTGTTATTGAAGCCATTTTAGCCTTGGTAACTGGTATATCTGAGTCTGAAAATGATCTCAACTATACACAGTGATTAGTACGAAGTGGAACTCACTTCATTATTGAATACTAACACAAACTCCATGTCGTAGATCGAAGGGGAATTAAACACAACAGCCTAAGACAGCCAGCTTTGCTCCAAAAGGTTTAGGTACGAGTAAACACAACTATTTATATTTCGCATAACGCCCAAATGCACGCTCAATATTCAATTGCTTGCTATTAACCTTCAAGTCTTATTTTAAACATACAATACTCTAGAAATTATTTATGTCCTCTATCACATCAATAGTAGTAATTTTTGAATGGCTTCTTTGCAACAAAAGTTTTGTTTTTATCGAAAGATCTGTAGTGCAGTTCATGAATAGTCGATGGAATTCATGTTTACAATTTTAGTGGACAGTAGTACGTTTGAAGCCTTCTCTGCACTTTTTTTATTCTACTCTAGAATGAGTAGAGTGAAAGCTCAGACTTCCATAAGTTGATTCCAAGAGTTAACTACGCGATGACATAAAGGGATCATAACGATAAATCTCCTCCTTAGTTTTGTTCTTTCCTGATATCCTGTTTATTGTATCCGCTTCTTGTGATCGATATGATTTTGGTCCTGAAAATTTCGCGGGTAATCACTGGTCCCTTCCACTGAATAAACTGTTAGGGATATGACGTTTTGTCTCTTTATCCTCATTTGACTCACAAGTGAATGAACTTCAGTAATAAGACATCCAGTGAGGTCCCAAACCTAGCTACTGTCAACAACACAATCGAAGAGGATCAAGAAAAGGAAATGAAGTGGCGAACTACTTCTCCAAGCTCTCTACACAGGAGTCGATCCTCTACATATCAACAACAGTAACATACTAGGGGGATACAGGATACTCTGTTGACGTCAACCAAGGCATCGTATCCAACTATCTAATGACACTAGATGCACAATATTCAGTGGATCCTGATAATCTTCATCCAAAGCTTTTCAAGGAGCTGTCAGTTCACACAACCGGCCCCTATCTGCGATCTTCAATCTATCTCTCCTAAATGGAATGTTGCCACGCGACTGGAATTTGCTATAATCACTCCCATCCACAAAGTAGGATCAAGACACTGCCGTTCACACCAAAGGCAAGTTAATCTCATCAGCTGCTTAATCAAGATACTAGAAAGAATCATCAAGGAAGTTATCATGGTAAATCTGGAAAACAATTTGTTGTCCAGAGCACAACTTGGCTTCCGAGGAAAATTCTCATGCCTGTCAAATCTTCGTATGGCAAGAGAAAGCTGAGTCAGGCAAAAGGACAACAAAAAACCCGTCGGCGTCGTCTTACTGGACTTGAGCAAAAGTCTTCGACAAAGTGCCTTACGAAAGGAAACTCACGAAATCGGAAATTCTTGGAATCAAACGCAGCTTACTAGAGTGTTCGAGGAAATTCTTCGTAGGTAGGAGACAAAGAGTCAGGATCAACTCCAAACCCTCCTCCTGGACAACGGTTCGTATTGGAGTATCACAAGGAACTGTACTCAAGCCTCTCTTATTTATTTCGTATATCGGTGAGTTATCTGCGCTTGCCGATTTCTCAGTGGTCATACATGCAGATGATATGTAAATCTGAAAACAGCTGGAGGGGGCCAGTAATACGCTCAATTTGCACGCAGACCGCGACAACTGGAGCAATGCCTGATAGCTGCCGTTCAACTACGATAAATGTGATATCCTATGCTTAATTAACTCCCACACTAATTTTAGGTTACACTTGGGCCACTCCTTTCTCCAAACCCTCAATTTCATAAAAGACCCAGTCGTTACTTACAAAACTTAACAATTAGTTAGTAAGGAAAGCCAACTGTTTCTAAATGCCGAAGACTCACAGGCTTATTACACCGAAAAATATACACACCGGAGGCTAAAGTCCTCCTTTATAAATAAATAAATGTATTCTCATGATGCAGTACATGAGGGACACCAGTTTGCAGGCATCATCAAATTGTTACAGAAATAGAACCATATTATTCAGTCACAATTTACAGTCGATAGCAAAATATGTTTAACATGTACACTGGAGATTATACATACACTTGATAAATGTTAATCCCAATAGTATAAAACATCCTTTTCGCTTGCATACAATCATTTCTGTGCACAGTTGGAATAATCTGCTAGATTGTCAGTGAGTGCAACACATCAGGAAATACAGAAGTATTGTCTTCGCATTAACATAAAAAAACCAGGTCTTTGGTGGATGGGTTATAAGTGCCTGGGAAAAAAATAAAGCTTGAAGTCAGTTTTCATACATAATCTTGTTGTATACATAATCCTTAAATTATAGTTCATTGATGTTGTCAGCAAAGTCTCATAAACCGTTAATGCCCAGCTCTCGCTACGCTCGGGCCTACGCTGTTCTTAGAAGATTTCTCAGAAACGCTTAGTTATAACGGACGCAAAAACCAAAACACCGATCTGCCGTTTGACATTTCTGTATTGTTACACCAACATATAAAAGGAATAAGCGAACTAAGCAAACTAAGGTCTGTAAACAAATATTACAATAATAAATCGTTGTTACTTCTGACGATGTTTCAGTCTTCTTTCTGAACAGCGACCGATGAGACGATGACTGTCGTATTGATGCCTCCGCGAAAATCGAGGAAGTTGATTTTGAGCAAACAACCAAGAATTGATCGTTCAATCTTCAACTCCATTGACACTCCCCGGAAAAAAGGGATCCAACCCTTTTTCCCTTCACGACCAATGCACGTTGACTTGGATGCGATTGCGAGAACCTGGGTCACACGGACAGAGCTGAAATGGAAAACAAACAGAAAAGCCAACACACCACAAGCATACCCACAGCACAATCTCACACATCAATGACGACCTGCGCGTCCAGACAGAGACCTCGTCTTGACATCTTGCAAAACAATCGCCATTTGCTAGAATGACTCTTGCAGAATGCAAAGTGACCATGGCAGCACCTCACGATACTCTACGCACATCCTCTTATCTACTCATTACCAATTACCACTGAAATCACTTATCACTCATTCTGCCTCAGTTCTAGTAGCGGTGACGCATGCGAGCCTCAGTCGTTTACACTCTTTCTCCCCGGCGTGTCGGACCTCAGCTAACAATTATCTCCGTGTGCATTTCATTCTCAGCACTAGCCTAGCCTCCCCGGCGTATACAACCCATCTCCTGTCTCTAACATCAATCAATTGATTCACGGATGAAGAAGACTCGTAACAACTTCAGAAGTAAGCACGACGAAAATTTTAACAAAATTATGCAATAACACCAAGGTACGAAAACAACGAGTAAACAGAATGGATCCAAAAACACCAATTGATATGACACACCACACATATATACAAACAGTACAAACAAACTCGCAGATTGTGTCTCGATGGAATTCCTTTGAAGAATCGCAGGACTTACACTAGTACACCTGCAAACCATCTCAGTTTGACGATTGTAGTTTGTGGAATGTACGGATACACACTAGATTAACCAACGATTACAATAATTGGAAATCACACAATTATTTAACACAAACATATGTACAATCAACACATCAAATGTGGTGGATTCCGGCATGACAAACTACCCTTGAAGAACTGTAGGACTTACAGCAGTACGCCTACATTCCTTCTCAGGTTGATGATCCAAGTGAAAGTCGTCCGGATACAAACAGAATTAAAAAAAGATAGATGACAGATGATATCAATTCAGTATTTGCAATATGAACATATGTACAAAATCACACACCAAGCACATTGGACTGCTCATTGATGCGCTACCCTTTGAAGAACTGTAGGACTTACAGCAGTACGCCTACAACCCTTCTCAGGTTGACGCCCTAGGTTGGAAAATCGTCGCAGAGTTCATTTGCTGACTTCCTTCTATGAGCTAAATCCTCAAATCTGAACAGTAACACGCCCATGTCATTGTATCGTAGAATATAGATGACGAACAAACACACGGCATATCTCATCAACCAAGTGTAGAAACAGAGTAATTTACACCAAAGATAATAACATTCAAATAGTAACTTGAAACTAGAAATGCCTTTATTCATGCAAGTCAATTTAACAATAACTCTCTCCTTTACACTTGGCTTATCCACACTAAACTGACCATTGATATTCGTCCTTTCAAACGAACTGATACTACCATAGTCATTGCACAAGATACTTGAGTTGATGGGTGTCTGTTTCATTGTGGATGACAGCACCAACGCCGACTGATTGATATCAGTTGATGAAGTTAGCGGTGGATCAAAAGCTGTTGTTGTTGTCGGCTTTCAGAAATTTGTCTACCTGCAAGACCACCACCAATGCTGTCTTTCACTACTAGTTCGGGTTTAGCACTATCATCTGATGATAGGTGGGCTACATGCTGATCACTCCCACTGACGGTCTTACAAGTATGCATGCCTTCTGCAACTGAATCTGCATTTATTTCTACTTCACGTTCAAGTTGTACAGAACCTTTATTTAACTTAGCAGTAGTAGGCATTCCCTCCATTTCATCATGATCAACCAAAGACAAATCTGCACTATCATGATCATTATCACAAATATCCAATTTACCGTCAACTTCATCATTTTCAAACTCTTTAATAACAGAAGTAGACAATTTTGGTTCCTCCTCAAAAATTATTAAAGGTTTTACATCTTCACTCTGACTAGTTATACTTTGTAAACTTTTGGAGTCAGAACTCCACTCTGAAGCAGTAACTCTATTCTGTGACACTCTATTCAACAATGGCTTACCAGTTGCAACTACAGACTTCTTCACAACAACGTTATCGTCACACAATTCGGAGTAAGGCCTGGAGTTTACATTTAGCTTATCACTGAACTTGCTCACCGGTTCACAGTTCACTTCTGTATGCACCTCTTGCAAACGTGTAGAACAAGGCCGTGTTTGTCTTGCATCTTGTAACTTATCTGTTGAGGATGTACTACGAAACCTGTTACACTCACTAGGTCTATATGCATTACTAGACATCATGGAGTCTTCTCGATATCCACCTCTCTGAGGCCTACTCGTCATCAATGAGTGCGTTTTACCCTCAGACTGCTCTATTCTAGGGGTGAGATTCAATATACTGGCAAACTTGCTCATAGATTGATTAACACTAGTATTTACCAGTTTCAGGATATCATCAAACTTTGGCTCGATACCCTCATCCTCCATACGGGAGCTCATCTTCACCCAC